GTTTTAATGTTTGTTTCACATTAACTGTATTTATTTTAATTGTCAAAAATTAWATAAATTTTCCTCAAGTGTACTCTGTTTTGCRTGTGACAGTAACTGGYAAGCMSCTTCCCTGTCTTCATCTTGAGCCATGAGATTTTCCATCCTTCTGTCTCCCTATCTCCTGTCAAGGAGGGGACTCTGAGGTCAACACYCTATATAATGATTTTCTGTGTGGTATGCTGTGGCGAGGAGCAAGAGGCACAAACTAAAACACTGGGAATCTCATTTAAACATAAGATAAAAGGATTTAACAGTGAGGGTATTCAAGCACTGGAACAGAGATACATTGCTGAGATAGRCAAAATCTGGTACAAAGTTCATATTCCTACTTACCCCATGCAACGCCATAACCTGTAGTTGCAACTGCAAGAAAATTTAAGTTAGGAACTTCTTGATAATTTCAGTTATGGCTTGCCTGTTTAATAATTTCATTACTACAAGATGAAAGTCACTTAAATAAGATTTCATAAAACAGAACATGATAAACCAAAAATTAACCATAAARTATGATAAAACATAGTTTTTCCAGTCTGTGAATTTCACTCCTCTAGATTCAAGGTGAATTAAACATTAGAAACAATGAAAAATGTTGACTAGATTAAAAGTAATTAATAATTTATAAATTCTTTTCACTTTGAAATTGAAGGCATTTTCAATTGTTGTTTTATTTTCTCCTCTACCTTTTGGGGATATTTTCTCTAATCATTGCAACAAAACCATTTTTTTTAATTAGTTTCTCTTTTTTCTCTCTGTAGCTTTTAAAAAAATATGAAACACTCAGAAGTTACAGAACACCTAGTGAAGTGACTAAAATTTGTGCTGGAAGAAATTGCTTCTATGATTTAATAGACAGGGGGATGAGGGGGAAAAAAAGAGTGAACTTCAGTTAGGATTTTTGCATTGTATCCTCCAGAAATCTTTTTCGGAAGAGTTTATTGGATAGATGGACTATTAGGTTTGCTAAAAACTGAATTCAAGGGATGGTGTTGAATGGCTTGGTGCTCAGTTAKCTGGCAATACCAAGTGCAGCAGTTCAACACTCTGCCCTACCTTGTTCAAACATTTTCATCAGCACCTTGGACAATGATGATTCCTTGATTCAATGAGTGTCTTTTAGGTAAGGAACCAAGACAAAGGTGAACACAAGTCAGCAGTGCAGTCTTATCATGAAGAAAACAAAGGCTATGTGAGGAAGAGTATCACCATCAGATTGAAGAAAGTTACRTGATAAAGCACAAGGAGCAGCTTGGAAGCTTCAAGTTTCATATTGTTCTTCAGTAAGTGGAGAGTGTACAGCAACAAATATTTGAGGGATGTGAAATGATTTCATTACTTGAAAACATGACTGGGARCCCGTAACAATCCCATATCACCAACTCTTCTGTGGTCTTATGAAGTTATTGTTCTTTTTCTACTGTAGACAGATGAATTTGGTGAGTGAGAAGCTCCAAATCCTCAAGCAGAAACTGGCAAAACAGAAAGATGAGTTGAAGACTGAGGTCAATAAGTTGTCCAATAGTGTAAAGTCCACCTCTACAACCACAGGAGAAGTAGAAACCTCACCTCTCTGTATTTATGAATCTTTTTTCCATCCACAAGTGAAAAACTTTTATACAATCCTTTCCAAAATTTGAAAGCASCAGGAAGTGGCTTAAGCACAAGTTGACACTATCTCATCCCAGTTAAAAAAAAAAATCTGTAAAAAGTCTGAAGCTTAATAGAATTTTCAGACATCACAAAGATGGAAAAAATATTCTGAAAATTCACCAAACATGAAGAGGCAAGGCAATCAATGAGAACTCAGAGCTCTAGAATGGCTTTTGGACCTGATGTTGTATTCACTGCAGGAAAAATATATGAGATGTTATTTTCTGAACAAGGCAGATGAAAATYAGGCACTGTGAAAAGTGGTCCTTTGTTGGCAGGTTTCTAGGGTGGGAAGAAACAGATAAACAAGTCAGCTGTCATTCCTTCKTAAATCTGCTGCCTTCCCAGATGATTCCCATTACTCTAGGAGGTGAAACAAAATGCAAGATATCAAACTGACAGAGAGGATGATATACTACAAGRGTGATCTTTGAGCCAGGGTACTGGAATTCATGTCATCTTCTTTATTTGGCATATGCAGAGAACCCAAGAGGGAAACTGAAACATAAAATCATTTTGCAGCTACAACTAGACATTTAAACACTGTAATAACTGTAAAAATGGATATTGGATGGAAGGTTTCCTATGGCTGTATGGCTTTCAGCAAGAAAGTTTTAAGTTCCCACACTCAAAAATCATTATGTCAACAGTCAGAGACAAGTTTATCAAAAAAAAGCAAATTCATCTTGGAATTAATTTTACGTGACACAAAAAGAACAGTCAAATCTATTCTTAGTTAAGGTGTTATGTCATATATTTCAAGAGGAAGGGAAAAATCTCTCCTTTCTTTCTTTCCCTTTATCCTGTTTTGGGTGGCAGAGAATGACATTTTCTTCAATGACAATTGTATAAATATACAGTATTATTTTTCAAACAGAAATTGTAAGATCTCTAAATTTATTTTTCAGAGAGACTTTGGCAGTCTCTTTAAAGAATACTTGATCTCAGATGTTTCAGTCACACATGCAGTGTTATGAGGACACAAATGTTCTTTAAAGCAGTGAGCTGAGAAGACTGGTCATCCTCTCTGACCCTTCTTACAGTGCTTCAAGTTCCWGGTTGAGGGAAAATGTGAGTCTGCACAACATAGTAGAGAATAACACCTCATCCTAGCTCCATGGAAGAGCTAGAATAGCAGATTCTACCTAATTCTTTGCAAAGGAAATGAAAAGCCACCCAGAAGTCCTCTATATTTCTGTGACATTTGTGTTTGTGTTTGGGAAGGCTGGAGGCAGCCAGTTTGGCATCTAAATCCCATTATTGTATTTGGTAACTACAGCCACTGTCCAAGGTTTCTGAAACAGCAGCAGGATGGCAAGTTAAAACTGCCAAAACCTAAAAGATGAAGGAAGCAAAATGCATCCTCAGGAATTCCTGCTAGTGTGACCTCACTGAAATTTCTGCTGGACGTACATCTGAGCAAACCAGCACAACCMGATATGGGAAATGGCAAAATAATACCTTTAAAATCGTATTTCAAATCATAGCCTATCAGTAATACTTCAGAAAGAGGTAAAAGATGTAATTTAATGTATGAATCAAGGGGGACAATCTTTCTTATCTGATCTTTTGAAAGTACCCAGCAAAAAGCTAAGGAGTTGTAAATAGGCACAGTAGCACAAGCATGATATGATCATCCAGTCCTGGAGTAAGACTATGCTAAATTTTTCCTGTTCTTTATTTCCAGAATATTTCAGAACAGGTTCACTCCAAAGTGCTTATAATAGTAATCCTTCTCACTACTGCTGAGTCCTGAGACATACAAATCTTGTATGTCAAACAGCAATTAACAGGAGAAGAGAAGCCAACAATTTCAAGATCCAGTGTCGCRCTCTATTTGCTGGACAGCACTTCCTCCTTCCTAGATTCCCAGTCATAATATTTATAGGAGATTTATTCACATAGCTAGGAAGACTTCAAATATTTCTAAATATATCCACAAGCAAGAATGGGAATCATGCACTCAGTCAAGTTTGCCAAACAATGCTTTGCCAAAAATTTTTGACCTAAGAAAGAGGAGGAGGGAATTGAATGTGCAAACCAGAACCTATAAAAGTGCTGGTAGGACAAGCCTGTTCTGTCTCTGTGGAAGGATTAAAGGTAAGAATATGGACAGTTGGGTGCTGGCAGAATCCCACARCATTCCTTCTGCCTGTGGAACTGCTTCCCTCAAAGAACTGTTTGTCTCAGGAATTGCTGCCCTCAAAGAACTGTCTGTTTCAATAGACGTGTTCCTTCTTTGTTCAAGTCACTAACATATTTTTTGCCCTGTGATTTTTTTTTTGTGAGTCTGTGCAAAGATAAGAAAGAAGTTGTAATTTTTCTTTTTCAGTATTGAGCCACTTCCAGGCTGAGAGCCAACTGGTGACACAAGAGGTAAGACTGATTTACTTACTCCATAGGAACAGACTCCAGGTTTGCTTTTTTCATGCATTTCCTAAGGCCACTTGCCATACCCCTTTACATCTCTTCACACTAAAGCAGTGCAATTTTACCTGAGCTGTGCTGATTAAAAGAGCAAATTTCCTTTCATAACTGTGTTGGAAGCATTTGTTTGGTACCTGCTGGGAAATAATTGACYTCTTACACACAGAACTCTTAAAAGGAGATTGTCTCTAAACAAAAATCCAGAAAAGAAAAGGTGAATGAACAGCACATGTATAGTTAAGATTTTGTCAAATCCCTCCAAATGTTTTTTATTGAGAAGTTTTCCTCTCTTGGTATAAGTTAATAATAAAGGGTTAGCTTGAGCTGAACAAGGCAGAACAACTGGAGAAGACAAAACTCTAATTTGTGTACAGATGAAAAAGTATTGCATAGACAATTCATACCTTCTGCTCCTGCTTACTCCACACTTTTTTCTCATGATACTCCATCTGTAAAGTGAGCACAAATTACATGATCTAAAATGGGCAAGACAGAAAGAATATAAGTGGGATTTCATAATTTAGATAAGATGACTTCTCTTGGTATCTCTTCTGTGTCTGCTTGGTATTTCTGCTCTATATTTGATTAGCACTAAATCTGCCAACCATTCCAATTTTCTACATAGCCTACTAAAAAACTATGAAAGCTAAAGACCGGAACATGTAAGGGGAAAAAAACTACCTCAATCAAAGACACCTATCTTCTTTAAGATTAAAAACAACTAAACTATATGGAGGGTAAAAAGCAGAAAGGAAGACCATAATAATAGGCAGAGCAGAACACTACAAAGCCTAAGGTCACAGCTAAAGAAAAATTTATTCCTTCACTCAGCATTGCCTCTCCAATTCAGCGCCGTGCGTTGCTGCACGCAGTAAACCACAGCCATGTCGACAGACGCTGAGATGGCCATCTTTGGGGAGGCGGCTCCTTACCTCCGAAAGTCRGAGAAGGAGAGAATTGAGGCCCAGAACAAACCTTTTGATGCCAAGTCATCCGTCTTTGTGGTACATGCAAAGGAATCCTATGTGAAGAGCACAATCCAGAGCAGGGAATCTGGCAAAGTCACTGTCAAGACCGAAGGGGGAGAGGTGAGTAAAATGCAAGATTTACAAACAGCAGTTCATTTGCACTCTGGCTCTTAGCTGACATGCGTGTACCTTCCTGTCTGCTGACAGACTCTGACTGTGAAAGAAGATCAAATCTTCTCCATGAACCCTCCCAAGTACGATAAAATCGAGGACATGGCCATGATGACCCACCTCCACGAACCCGCTGTGCTGTAYAACCTCAAAGAGCGTTACGCAGCCTGGATGATCTACGTAAGTGGCAGCAGCAGCTTCCTCTGGGCAGCTGCAGGAACTGCTGTGCCAGGCTCAGGGGAAGCCAACGTGCTGTCTCCCTTCCTCGCAGACC